TACAAAATCCAGGATAATGGCACTGCCAACAGTTTGCAAACAGTTTTGGTCATAATGAATGCCCTTACCTGCATGGGGATTAAATCAGACCTCAAATAATACTGGAAAATAACTCTGGTGGTCTAATCGCTTAATTATGCCACTTTAACAATGATACTTTTTTTATTATTTACAGAAGAGGCCACAAAAGTTTGCAGATGTTTAACTTTTGATTATTCTAATTCTAGCAGTAAGTTATGTCGCAAAATAGATCTTAAAGTTATTTCCAGGGTGTATTTTCTGTCCTTGTGATACTCCTCGAGTAATGCTTTAACAATTGCTTTAAACTGAACATCCTCTTCCATATGAACAGTCCTTAAATCAAACAGTAGTAAAAATCTTCTGAAAATTATATAAATGGAGAATTGGGAGAGGCAGATTGATTAAATATCAAAGCTTCTGAGTTATATTATCTTTCATAAACTGGCTTTTCTCCAATTAGTATATGCTTTCAGGAGCAGGGGAATAAGATGAAAGGATCTGCAACAAAACTGATTGGTGCTGAAACAAAATGGAAGTCGCTGCTTTTCATAAAATACAAGGCTATGGCAGTACTTGAATAATTTTATGGGAAGTTGCTGCCTAAGGCATATGTTTTACTGTCTGATACTGAATGCATGAGGAAAAACCATCTGTTTTTTTCAGCCTGAACAATTATATGATCCAGACTGAATCACTAGAGGCCAAATATAATTGCTCTGTGTTTTGCTTTTTACTACTCTCTACCTACAGCAGCATAGTCTTGTACAGCATGTATCGTAGCACAGAGTTCAAATGATGGCATGGGAAAATGCTTTTTCTTCTGTTGAGGGTTATCAAATGACTATCCAGGGCTTAATGCAATCATCTAGACTTCATCTGTCACTGGAGAAATAATTTACAATAGGAAAGAATTTCTGATAAACTTTGACCACTGTGATGTTTGAACCTTAGGGATTTACTTTTGCTGAGCAGATCCTCATTTAACATTCAGCCAGGTGAAAGTTGTTGCTACATCCTTCATGCCTTCAGTTCCAGTTGGGAAAAAGAGAGGTGCTTTTGTTGAGTGGCCTGAGTAAACAGATTGCACTAAAAATATAGCTAGTGAATCCTCACTATTAGTTTACTTTGAAGGAAAGCACTTCAATGATACATAAACTACTGGAAACATTCCACTTTTGTTGCTAGTGTTGCATTTTACAGCACCTAAATGTATGCTATTGGTTTTGCCAGGCTAGTAGGACTGGGTTTCTCCCCTCCCCAAAAGTTCTTAGAGTTTAATTTATAATTATTATTATTATTATAAATTAATAATGTGCTGAGTGGCACTAAAAGAAGTGTTCAGTGTTGGAGGGAGGAATGAGGGACAGAGGGGCAATATTTGAATGTGTGGGTGGATAAATGCAAATATTTTTCTTTTGTTCTTTAATAATAGTAATAATTATTATTATTATTATTATTATAATTAATAATGGTGCACTATGCCCTTTTGAGTTCCTGGAAAAACTGAGAGCAAGAGTTATAGAAGTTTGGAAAAATTTCTTTCCAAGACTGTTTTTATGTAATGCTGTGAGGATTGTTTCTGCTCCGTATGGATAAACTTCAGAACTATGTCAACCAGGTGTTAATCCACACTGCACCTGGCTTTCCTGAATATGTGCTTTTATTTTGATTAATACACTGCTTAACTGTACTCATTCCCTCTCCTGACTCACTTTTCCTATCTATTGTGAATAAACACCTTGCCCACAGTGATATTCTAAATCATAGTCCTGACAGACTATGGCAAAGCAAGTGGTGGGTGAATGGACGATGGTTTTGTGTAGGATTGGGCTGTGACTTGAAAGGTTCAGGTTTATTCCACATGTTTATTCCACTTTCTGTGTAGCCTTAGGCATGTCCCTTACCTTTACTGTGCCATGGTCTCCAACTGTGATATGGGAACAAGAAACTATTTTTTCCTGCTGTGTCTGTTTTCCATAATTGTGCTATAAGAAATCTCTTCCAAGTGAAAACTGGTATTGTGTGTTTGGATAAGACCCAGTACAACTGGGCCTCCAATTTAGTTGGTATTACAGGAATAAAACCAAACGAGCAATTTTTAATACCTAAACACAAAGGAAGTAAGCAAATGTCATTTTAATTGATTCAGGTCTAAAGAAATTCAGCAAAAGGAAATTACATTCTTTTACTGTAAATTCTTAGTCACTTCTTAATTTTATTTTGCCCTCCATGCAAGCCTTAATGAGAAGAAACCGCATTTATGCCTATGTCAGTAGGATGTAATTATAGGGGGGTTGCATCTGAAGGCTGTAGCAGCTGAAACTACCAGTAACGTTCTATGAGATTTTCCAATTTTATGAAGTGAAGGGGAGAAAAATTGCTCACAAGATGGATTTTTGTCACTAATCACAGAATCATAGAAAAATAGAATAATAGAAAAATAGGATCACAGAATGGAAAGGATGTTAAGTTCATTAAGTTCTAACCCCCCTGCCATGGGGGAGAATCTTCCACTAGACCAGGCTACCCAGAGCCCCATCCAACCTGGCCTTAAACACCTTCAGGAATGGGGCATCCACAAGTTCTCTAGGGAGCCTGTTCCAGTGCACCCTCATAGTAAAGAATTTTTTCCTAATATCTAACCTAAATATTACATCCTTCAGCTTAAGGTCTTGCCCCTTGTCCTGTCACTGCATACCCTGGTGAGAATTCCCTGCCCAGCTTTCCTGCAGGCTCCGTTTGGGTGATGGAAGGCTGCTCCAAGATCTTCCTGGAGCCTTCAGTTCTGAGGGGAGGTTGAACAACCTTGATTCTCTCCGCCTGTCTTCACGGGTAAACTGGTCCAGCACTGTGATCAGTTTAAGGGCTCTCCTCTGGGAGATTTCCCAATGTCTTCCTTGTGCTGAGGGCCCCAGAGCAGGATGCAGCACTCCAGGTGCTCTCACAGAGCAGAGAGGGGGAATCACCTTTCTCAACGCTCCTTTTGATGCAGCCCGGGATGCGGCTGACTTCCTGGGCTGTGAGCATGCACTGCCAGATCACGTTGAACTTTTTGTCCAGAAACACCCCCAAGTCTTTCTCCCTAGGGCTGCCTTTGATCCATTCTCAATCCCAGCCTGGGATTGCATGAGTCTTGAATGAGTTTTTTATTAAATCTTGAAGCATGTGTTGATCTTCACCTTTCTCTAGTCTAGAAGATAAGACTTGCCAATGGTGTATGTGCACTTTACCCTCCTGGATGATGTTTTATTTACAGTCCTTAACAGAATTTATATGCAAGCTCCTACCATATTTGATTTTCAGAGTAGAACTTGTCCCCAGTAGTTAAGTGATATGCTACAACATGTGCCTCCAAAATCCTATTGCATTGCAGATAGAGATTTTCTACTAGAGATTCTGAAGACTAGACTTATATTTTTTATGTAATGTGTTGGATACATTAGAGCACTCGTATATTATATCACTATGGAGAGTCCATAAGTTCTGTAGGAAAAAGTCATCATAGCTCCTGAAGCACAAGTGCATGCAGATGCAACTATATATTAAAGATATATCCAGTAGTTAGAAACACAGAAGTACGTAGGTTGAAAAAACCTCTGTGAGTCTTCCAGCCCAACCTCCTGCTGGAAGCAGAGCTCACTTCCAGTCAGACCATGGCCTTTTTCAGCCAAGTTCTGCAAGTTTGGGGGGCAGAGGTTTCACAGTGCGGTGCATTGACCCTGGCAGGACACTGGGTGCCCAAAACCTCCCTATCATTCCCCTTCCTCAGCAGGATGGAGGAGAGAAAGTATAACAAAAGTGTCATGGATCAAGATAAGGGCAGGGAGGAATATGTATCTGCATTAATTACAATATCTGTTCATGTGGGTTAGAACATCAGCTAATGAGTCCCAGCAGTTCAGACAAAAGTCAAAGGTCTGCTCTTTGTTGGTTGACTCATTGTGCAGCATGACTGACAAGTGTTTTAAGAAGGAATTTAGCAAAACATTGGTAGAATCAATTATTACTGGGTGCTAATTAGTCAGTTCATGATACTGTGGGTAAAATGAACCTTTTTTCTGATCCAGTTCATAGATGACTTCACTAGCACAGAGGTATTGTTGGTGAAGCAGTACAACAGGAAAGGATAATCCTTACCACCAATAGTATGTGTGTCAGAGCATGTGTCCTGCTGGCTCACGTCTGCAAGCACATGTGCTGTGACCTCTAAGGGTTGGGCATGGGATAGGCAAGAATTTCTGCAGTGATACATTTGTTTGGATCTTCCTCACAAAAAGATTCAGCTTTTTTTACCCGTGTATATTCATCAGTATCATGAAACATACAGGCTCATGCAAACTCAAAATTGTGCTCATGTTTTCCTGGTTGTAACTGCCCAGCTTGTTTAATTGTTTTAACCTCTTCAGTGGATTGTGTGATGCTAAGTTTGTTCCCAGAATGGAGCCTAGTCAGTGATGCCTGCCATAGCTCTACCTCTCACTGCAGGTAGTTTGTACATGAAATCTGCTACTCACAAGGAGGTTGTTTTGGATGGACAGGTAGATGCAATATGTAATTAGCTCTTCAGTAAGCTTCTGCAGCAGGTATTTGTGGCCAGTTGTGGGAGAAATTATTTTTCAGGCCTGGGAAGTAACCCTCTCACTAGAGATCTGTTTTTAAAGACACTTAGATTATCTGGACTGCATAAAGGTACAGCATTGTGATACAAAAAGTAACATCTGTGTATACTGGGTCATTTTCCTAAGAAAATCTTGTTTCTCTGCATTCTAGCAGTGCTGCTCAGAAACATATAGATTTAATAACATGTTATTATTCTAATATCTTTAGTGAACTAAGTTAAATGGTAACTGTATTCCCCTCTACTAATGAACACTGTACAGAGACAGTTTTCTATTAATGCTGGTGAAGTACAATCAATATAGATGATGGGTCAGGGTACTGTAAAATATTAACAATTATTAATATTCTTTCTTTTTCAGTTTTCTCCTTGTGTTTGGTTGCTTGATTTTGTCCGTGTTTTCTACTATTCCTGAACACACAAAACTTGCCTCTGGTTGTCTCTTCATTTTGGTAAGTGAAAATTCTAAATACAAGACAGTTTTACTGATACTTTTGTATACATTCAAATCATCTCCCTCACCATGGAGGAAGTAATATAATACAATAACTGAGCATTTTAAAAAATCAGACTGTTCCTCAGAATGATGAAAAAAATTATAAAATAGAAGACTCCACCATCTTTTTATTTAAAAACAGGTCAGATGGTAAGACAGTGCTAATAGAGTATAATACTGCATCCCCTTCTTTGCTTGAGAAGTGCTGTGGTTTTTAACTGATAGATTTTCTATTGCAGTTTGGCAGTGACTGAGCATGAAAGGCCTTTGATATTGCTGCTGTCATTTATAAAGTCAGTATGTAGTAAGAGGCACTTAAAATAGGAATTAATTTTGGTATCTTAGATACGGATTTGGGCTAGCTATTGGTAGATACTGACATTTTAGTAGCAGTTGCTGCAGTGGGATCTGGTAGTTTCATTATTTCTTCATAATACATGCTTTTGTATTATGTTTATCTCTCCCTTTTCCCTTTTGAGGTAAATGAAAATGGCTTTAATCCCTAAAAAGTGCTTAACATTTTTCATGTATTGTACGGATGCCACTTTATTAACCTGCTTCCTGATGGGCCATTTAGTTCTGCAAGTGATGGCCTGAGGATAGGCAGTAGTGAATATTAAAACATCACCCTATACCCAGAGTTACCGTGGTTATTTCAGTTCCATGTATTCAGCAGACTGTGGATGTTAGGTAACGCCTGAGATGAAGTAACTGTTGACAAATGCCAACATTTTAATTGTCATCACTGTATATATCCAAAAGCTCTGGTCTTTAGAACAGGTCCCTAATTAATTATGGCGTGAGCAGGCTGATAAGCATAATTATGTTGTGTGTAATGTCTTTACAGCACAGTGCAGGCCCATTGCATCAACTACCTGAACTAAATGTCCAGAGCTGGCTAGGTGCAAGTATGTAGTGTTCTGCTCCATTGGATGGTTTCTTAGCATGGCTAATTAGGGAGAACCATGCTAAATGTTGCATTTTTCTTCCTAGCCATATTAGTGCTTTTTCTTTCTCTGAAGAAAAGATCAGGTGGCATTAGACCAGCTAAAAATGGTCAGATTTAAACCTACACTTGTACCTAGACGCATTATTTACAAACCTGAACACTTGGTAAATGGAAGTCTGTCTGAATGTTCTGCAGCTGGTTATACTGCTGCAACTGGTACACTAATTGCTAAGATTTTTTTGGTATAGAAAACAGGAAAATCTGATTAGTCTGAAAATACCCTATTTGTAATATAAGGTGCTTTTGTGACAAGTAGCCTGTTTTCCTGTATACTTATGCAAATTGGTCACAGAAATGCCATTTCTTCTGACATAAAATATGCATTTCCCATGAGCCACATATCTGTTGATTGTGTTGGTACACTTAGCACTGCTGATCCCTCAGCTGGCTGGTTCCCTGTGCTGTGTCACAGGATTCACGTGAGCCACAATGTGCAGGAGCTCTGTGAAGACTTGGCCTTGCTCCCAGCACTGGGAGAGGTGTGGTGGGCTCTGATTTCTGGTGCACCAGTCCTGGTAGAGGTATCCATCAGCTGAGCAGAGCTGCTCAGTGTCTGCTGCAGGAAACTTTGGTGCTTTTTGCTGCTTTGGCTTCAAAGATGAGCTTTGTCCATCTTAACTGTTCTGACTGTACATCCCACGGCATCCTCTGAACATAGAATAGGGCTTAAGGAGGAAGAAGGTGGATGGTTGATCCTTGAAGCATCAATACTAACCTCATCCAGCATTTCTATACTATAGCCTATTGTGTTCAGCATACCTCTGGCAGGAATAAACCTAGTGATGATGAATTTTGCATCTCCTGCCATGAGTCTCTAATGGAGAAAAATATAAACACAGCAAAGTATGAAGTTCCAGAAGCAGGCTAAAGCTGATTGTTTTATTGCAGTTTGCTGATGCGTGGTTTGTTCCTTCTCCACATACTGAATAATTAGCTGATATTAGCAATGTTATCAAAACAGGCTTTTGCAACCACAAACCAAGAGGAAAATACATTCCTGCATTAACTCAGGAGCAGCTGTTTTGGCTGTGCCAACACCTAACTGCAATCACTAGAGTTTTCGCAACCGTTTCCTTGCAGTGACTCACACAGCTCTTCCAAATGTGTCATTTAGTAAGACAGCTGTACTATCAGATCTGGTTTAATACTGCTTGTGCTTTGTGCTTGAAATAGAAAAGATAGGTTTATTTTCTAATGAAGTAGCATACAAATATAAAAATTCATAGAGCTGCCTGCTGGGTTTCTGTGAACTGTTTGTTTTGCAGATTTATTCCAGATGGTGTCCCCTACAGCCATGTTAATTGGCTAAAAAGCTAGTGTAATGTTCCTTCAACTTAATACCTGAGCTGCTGTGTGCACTGGCACCTGTGGCTTTTGACATATTGCAGCTATTCACAATTACACAGGGAGATTAAAAAGGGAACTGTAGATGAGCTGAGCAAACCTTTTCCTCCTTCTCAGAAAGGCCAAAGGAGATGAAATTATTCTTCTCCAATCAGTCAGTTCCATTTATCTGCCCGAGCTGTGCCTTCCAAGGGAGCAGAGAATATATCTCCTAATCACTGCATCCCAAATACTCTCTCAGAAACGTGCAGAAATATGTGATAGCTCAAAGCAAATCATTTCGGGAAGCAGTAATTGCTGAAGGCTTCTGAGCTTCAGCAGAGGTTAATGGACTCATCTGGGCTGCAGAAATGCCTGAGATCTGCTACCAGAGCTGAGGCAAACCTGCCTTGCTGTGTTGTGTTGGACCCAGCTCCAATTCTGGCATCCATACAAGCACTACTGTGTTCCAAGGTGTCTTCTCCTTATTAGGAAACCTGTCAAGGGAAATGCCTTCAATATTTGAACTTTACACTTAAAATTAAAGCCATGCAGATAAATTAAGTGCATGTTACATACGGTAATGTTGGATTATTGCATCAGTAATTCATTCGGTTAGATTTGTGTCCAGAAATAATAAGAGTAACTGGGAGGACAGCATCAGATAATACTCCCTATACTCACAATTATAGTGATGCTTCAGCCTCTTCTGTGCACACAAGTTCTGTCACTTCAGTTGTAGCAGTGATATATTCCAGAGAGGCAGTAGAATAAAAATCTACTTCAGCATCAAAATAAACCACAAGCAGTTTAAGAATCCAACTAACACAGCAAGAAAATAATCTTTGGTGTATTGCCGATCTACAAATACATTTGCTAGCATTATGTCAAATAATAAACACAAGGGGAGTAAAACTGAGGCTGTGAAGGCAAAATCAAATCTTTTGGGGAAGATAGCCGAGAAGGAATATTATGTGGAACTGGAGGTCATTCACTCTTTTAACCAAAGTCTCTACATTTTAAGTTCATTTTCAACTGAAGCTGAAAGTTATGTGAATTTCTGCTTCACTTCCGTTTGTTTGCTGTCAATGCAAGAAAATTAATAAAATAATTTTCATTGACTCAGGAAAATTTGACAAATTGAGCAGTAAAAAAGGGTCTTGGATCAGTTTAAACGTTTCTGATCTGGCATAAAACATTATTTGTGTATTTGGTTATTTTAGAACTTTAGTCTTAAAGCTCAGATTAATGTTGTAAGAAACAAAATTTCATTTTTATTGAAGTTAGAAAGCATCCTTTTTTTTTGTAATTTTAATTTTTAATCAAGATGGGTAGATTGAAAAACGCAAGTGAATTTCTGCAGGATTGGTTTTATCAAATCTGTTTTGTGGTTTTCTCTGAAAATGTCTGGTGTAGAAAGCTGTACCCAGATCTTTAGAATAAAGGCCTCTGAAAATGTACTCTAGGAACACATTCTTCAAGCAGAAATAGCTCCCAAAGATATAAAGCAGACAGTGCACAGGATGAAGCTGGTTCCTCCATGTACTGTGGTCACTTAAATGAACCCAAAAGGAGAGTCTACCAAGTGCTTCTAGCAATTAATATCTTTCCAGGATTTTTTTTTTCTCCTAATATTTTTGCATAAAAGAAAGAGGATACAAACAGTGATTTAATAACATAGGGTATAGCTGTCCCATAGCAGGTAAGCATATATTCAATTTGTCTCTGCTCTAGGAAGTAAGTCTATCCACAGGAATTTGATCATACAAATCTGCTACAGCATTGTAAAGCTAGCCAGAGTGGACTTTAAAAAGGGAGATGGATAGTGCTCAGTTTAAAAAGAAGTAGCATTTTTCAGTTTAGATTGTACTGGCACTTGAATTCTCTTGCCATGCTTGGATAAAAGACCACCAGACCTGGTAAAGGACTTAATAATGGCTCTATAGGACCAGCTATCAAGGCATTAAAGGAAAAAGATGATTTTGAAATGTCTCAATTATAAATACATTTCTAACAACAGTATAGACCATATTACTGGAATTTTGCTGAGTCTTCTTCTGAGAAAAACAGATTAATTTATTCCTGAGCTAAAAATCAGTGAGTTTGTCAAAACTCAAAATCAGTATTACTCAAGAAATACTGATTTCTAGTGTTTTATTTTCCAAATCAAATCTTAGCTTTTAAATTTCAAAATTCCTCATAGAAATCTCTGAAAAATTACATTAGACATACAACACTGATGTTATCAAAGACAGAATAAGAGAGGGAAATATAATGTTGATAAGGTCAAAACCTTCATGTTTTCGGTCTTGTTTGGATTCATGTACACTAATATTATAATAACATGAGCAAAAAGCAACTCAACCATGTAATAATAAACTACCTGTTAGCTTTGAAAATATTCTTTCCATATAAAAATGAATATTCTCACATCTTTGCTGTTTAAATTGATGTTCTCCTATTATGTATACAGATTTGACCAAATCAGAGCTGACTGCAGCTTACAAAGATTTGGACAAGAGTTCATCACGACTACTTGTGAATCTTTGTGTAGAAACAGAACAGACTTCCCACTGGAAAATTAAATGCTGGACACACTTTGCTGAAAGTAAAAGTTATTACGA